CATTGGTGGTTTTTTTTTAACCACAAATAACTTGCTTTATCTTAACCTTTGACATTTTGGAGAATGTTATATAGAAAGCAAATAATGAAAACGTTATATTTAGGCATACTCTGCTGGCAATGGAGCAATGTATTGTAACACAGTAGCATAAAAATCTGTGAGGACTGTCAATCAACCCATGGGCAAAACTTTCTTGATTTACTTCAGCCCAAAACCAAAAAACCAAACCCTCTGCCGCTGAGTCCATTTCCACTCATAGCGACCCTATAGGACAGAGTAGAACTGCCCCCTAGGGTTTCCAAGGTGTGGCTTGTGGATTCGAACTGCTGACCTTTTGGTTAGCAGCCGAGCTCTTAACCGCTGCACCACCAGGGCTCCTATTTTGGCCCAGTCAGCTTTAAATTTCCCCATGAGTGCTTCAACAACAGCTTGGAAAGCAGCTTATTTTGCAGTCAAAGCAGCTCTATTGCCACCATTAGCAATCTGTATCATAATAAAAAATACAATCTTATCCACCCCGCTCACATGCTTCGTCCTTATTTTTGTAGAACTATTTAGCCTTCTTTGTCACCTAGTTGCAGAAGTACATTAGTATTTGTTGTGTGCATTTATTAAAACCAATTATCATTAGGTAGTTTAAAATGGACTCAGGGCTACTGGTTATCTCAGAAAATTACAAGCTAAAATAGTATGCTTTTCTGTGAAGAAATTAAAGCAAAGGCATAAATGGTGGACTGTGGTCTCAAATGCTCCTGTCTATAAATGGTAACTTGATTCCAAGCAGTACAAGCACCTTCGGTTTGTTTCCACAATAAACACACCGTGTGAAGCAGGCAATCTTACCCCGTGACTGAATCCACGACTCAGGTCTTCCCTCTCGTAAGCTCCTGCTGTTGTTGTTGGCGGCCCTGGACTCACCCAAAAACTAGGGAACTGGTGAGAGGATCTCAAGGTCTCTGTCCATATACAGTCAAGGCCCCAGTTACCAACGTCCGACTTACGGACAACCTGACTTACCATCAATGTGTACTTGCCCTTAAATGTTATGTAAATTTGCCCTCACTTTGAAATGACTGAACCAACCCCACCTCACAACAAATTCTTCACCACGATCACTTCACTTGCTGCACGCTGTTGTCAGGTGCTGTTGAGTCGATTTCGACTCACAGTGACCCTACACACAACAGCACAAAACACTGCCCGGGCCTGTGCCATTGTCACAATCGTTGTTGTGCTTGAGCCCATTGTTGCAGCCACTGTGTCAGTCCGTCTTGTTGAGGGTCTTCCTCTCTTTTGCTGGCCCTCTATCTACCAAGCATGATGTCCTTCTCCAGGGACTGTTTCCTCCTGATAACATGTCCAAAGTATGTGAGATGAAGTCTTGCCATCCTTGCTTCTAATAAGCATTCTGGCTGTAATTCTAAGACAGATTTGTTTGTTCTCTGACAGTCCATGATATAGTCAATATTCTTCGCCAATACCACAATTCAAAGGCCTCAATTCTTTGGTCTTCCTTATTCATTGTTCAGCTTTCACAGGCATACGAGGCGATTGAGATAGAGGACACCACGGCTTGGGTCGGGTACACTTAGTCCTTAAAGTGGTATCTTTGCTTTTTAACACTTCAAAGAGGTCTTTTGCAGTAGATTTGCCTAATGCAATGTGTCGTTTGATTTCTTGACTGCTGCCTCCACGGGCTGCACGTACAGCTTTTAAATCACTGAAAAGGCATCAAGTCTTGTCTCGCACTAAAGTAAGGCTAAATAAGAACTGTATGACCCTGTTTTGACTTACCTACAAATTCAACCTACAGACGCACTTAGGAACGGATCCCCGTTTGTAACCTGGGGACTGCCTGTATGTTGAAACGCTCTCTGCTTAATCTAAGTCTAACATATTGCTTGAATTCTTCTCACATTTGGCTAATAGTAAAACTAAAACCTGTGGATTCCAAGTTACAAAGTATTTTCTCTAACTAACAAATCAAAAAAACAAAAACAAACCAACAAAACCTTGTCTGGTATCCAAAGTTCTGCTAGCTGGCTCAGGTAGGAAGGCTGGAGTTTTAGTTCTGTGAACTGGGACCAATGCTGTAAAATGTGGGCTTTCCCATCTGTAGGCTGGGATTACATCTTTCCTATTTCACTAAGTTCTCCTGAGAACAGTGAGATAATTAATGTATAAGCCATTTGTAAGTAACTAATGGAAGTTATTATTAGTATTTTACTATTGAGTTTGCTTTTTTAGAATTCTCTATTAGTGAGGTTAAAAGTGGCAAAACTATGAATGCTGTGTCATAGACTTCAAAGTGAATATGAACACATAAGCCTTATAAAACGCATGTCCAAGGAGAAAGCCCCAAGCATTTTTAACTCTTAGGACCAGGGAGAAGAAGTAAAAACCCTTAGGGTTCAGATCGACCCAGAACTTGCTTCTCCACTTTGGGTCAGGGAGGCAGAGGAAAGGTATTTTGACAGGGCAAATGATTTTTTGGGGTTTTCAAATGTTTAAAATTTATGTATGGATATATTTGTATTTATTCATATGTAAAGGATCCCTGGTGGCACAGTGGTTAAAGCGCTTGGCTCTAACCGAAAGGCCAGCAGTTTGAACCCACCAGCTGCTCCTCGGGAGGAAGATGTGGCAGTCTGTTCCGTAAAGATTTACATCCTTGGAAACCCTATGGGGCAGTTCTACTCTCGCGCAGGGTCGCGATGAGTTGGAATCAACTCGACCGTATTAGGTTTCTGGCGGTTACTCATACGTAGGTGTCCCTCTGAAAAAGGCCGTTTGAAAAAACTGACTAAGGTCACTTGGTCGGGCTGCGAGAGTCGTATCGTTTTCGCACTGTAATAATACGGGTTTCTGAGATTCCTCCAGGGGGTTCTTTTCAAATGTATTCAGTTAACAATTCAATCTGTGTATCCTTCCTACTCCTCCATCCCCTACAATGTATGCAAACAACTAAAATGCCTTCCCAAGATGTAAGTTACCAAGGCTGAACGTCTCCCTGTCTTCACAGCTCGGCCAGTCTTCTGGGGCTGGCCCAGCAGACGACCGGGGCTCTCACATACCTGGTGGTGTTTTCCTGGAGTGCCTGCAGCTGCTCTGCTGCCCGCCCGCCCCATCCACCCTTCCATCTGTACTCTCACACTCACTCTCTTTTGAACTCTTCACCCCCAACCAAACCAGTTGCTGTTGAGTCGATTCTGAATCCCGGCAACGCTTCACCACATTCACTGTACCGTACGCCTCTTTTTCCTTCTCAATAATTAATGACTCTTCTTACCTATCTAACTTGTAAGCATTTTATTTTTTCCACTTCTCCTGCGTATAACTGTGATTTTTGCCTGCATGAGCTATCTGCATTATAAAACCAATAAATCAAGATACCATCCTCATAGTTGGTTCTCTTACTTAAAAAAATATTAAGAAAACTCTACATTTCACTAATCTGCTGTCTGACTTCAGTGTTACATTATATGCAGAAATATTTAATTATATGCATTAAAAGTTCAAGAATGAAATTGTTGAATGGGAACCTAAACTGCTATGGAAATCTTCACCAAAAACACAATAAAATATTATTTAAAGAAAAAAAAAAAAGTGTACAAGGCAAGGTCATGGAAGCTCCATAGACATATCCAAACTCCCTGAGATTGAACTGGTGGGCGGGGAGGGCTGTGGAGATCATGGTCTCAGGGAACCTCTAGCTCAGTTGGCATAACATAGTTTATAAAGACAATGTTCTACCTTCTACCTTGGTGAGTAGTGTCTGAGGTCTTAAAAGCCTGTGAGCAGCCATCTAAGACACTCCACTGGTCTCATCCCTTTGGGAGCAAGCGAGAATGAAGAGAACAGGATACAAGGAAAAGATTAGTCCAAAGGACTAACTGTCCACAGCTACCAAGACCTCCACCGGACTGAGTCCAGTACAGCTAGACGGTGCCCGACTACCACCACTGACTGCTCTGACCAGGATCACAACAGAGTGTTCTGGACCGAGCTGGAGATGGATGTAGAACAAAATTCTAACGACAAAAAAAAGACCAGATTTACTGGCCTAAAGGAGACTGGAGAAACCCCGAGAGTATGGCCCCCAGACACCCTTTTAGCTCAGTGGTGAAGTCACTTCTGAGGTTCACTGTTCAGCAGGGGAGTGGACAGCCCCATGAAACCAAATGGGACTAGTGAGGCACAGCAGTCCAGGGACAAGGACTGGAAGGCAGAAGGGGACAGGAAAGCTGGTGATAGGGAACCCAATGTTGAGTAAGGATAGTGTTGCTGTGTTGTGAGGTTGTTAACCATTGTCAGAGGGCAATATGTGTACTAACTGTTTAATGAGAAACTATTCTGTTCTGTAAACCTTCATCTAAAGTACAAAAAAAAAAAGAATTACCTATGTGAGATCAAATTGACAACAGCAACTCAAAAGGTTTGATGGGAAGCCTAGGGGGCAATGAGTTGAAGATAATGGTGATGGAATAATTTGGAAAAGGATAGTGAGAATAGCAGCACAACTGGAAGAATGTAATTGATGTCAGTGAATTGTACCTATAGAAATTTTTGAAATGGTGTATCTTTGGCTATGTATATTTTCACCAAAAAAGAAAAAAAAAGGGTCCTCCAAGGTCAAGAAGGGAGAGTGTTGACATGTTGTGGGGTTGTTAACCAATGTCATAAAACAATACGTGTACTGACTGTGTAATGAGAAACTATTTGTTCTGTAAACCTTCACCTAAAGTACAATAAAAAAAAGATTAAAAAAAAAAATTTAAAGAAGTTCAAGAACATTTGCATCATCAAAATAACAACAAAGTAATTCTTCCAACAAGAACTCTGAGGGGTAAATAAGTACAGTTACAAATATATATATTTAAAAAAAAAACCCATGAATAAAATCTTGTATCAAATACCCTAATCTCCCCAATTACTTTAAGTGAAGCAATTTCGGGCATTTGAAAATACAGATTAGGAAACTAAATAACAAACGGTCTTACGGTGACGATTCCAGAACGATGCTGTTGGCTTGTGTTGATGACGGGGATCTGTGATTCACAAATGCTTCGCTTGGGGAAGTGTGAACCACATGGTCTACCAAGTGTCCGACTGAAGATGGTCGTAACCGGGTTCCCTCTTGTGTGAATGCAGAGTTTCGACTAAATGAAGCGGGAGAAAAGCTGAATTAAAATATGCTTTAATTTAAAAAAAATTTCAAGCTTCTTAATTACATGGTTGCATCAGAAAGTGGATGTATGTTTTTAAGACTAACCGTGTTGATTAAGTAACTCTTACAAAAATAGTGTGATGTTAGCAGAAAGAAGAGCGGACGGGATGTCAGCTGTCTGAGCTGGAGTCAACGACTGGCATGAGGATTTCACCTCTTCAGTCATCTGTTATCTCTAACGACCTAACCGTTTCCAGGCTTCAGTTACTAACGCTTGGCATCTTCTTCAGCATTTCTAAGCTAGACGATTAGAATAAAAGATTCAGAAATACCTGCTAGTCTGAATTACTTTTCAATCCTTACAGACGTTTTTATTTCTGGGACTTTCTTTAAATCCTAAGAATAGAAAGTAAATACCGTATGTCCATCCTCAGAAGATACACAATCACATGAATCATTATTCATTACGATACCGAACATCTGAGCACTTACGAAGTGCCAGGCGCTGGTCTAAGCATTTTACACATATTATCCCATTTAACTATCACACCAGCACTACAGGAAAGACATGATTATTATAAATATAATTTTGCACATGTAGAAAATGAGACAAAGACTAATCACGTTAACTTTGCCCAAGGTTCAAACATACATCGACTCCAGGGCCCATGTGCTTACCCCTACAAATGTATTGTCTCTTTAGGATTTAAATAAATTTTTTTTTTCAGATAATAACTAATTGTTTCATTAACCAGATAATTTAATCAGAGCTATGGCTAATTAATTATTTGAACCATCTGGTTTAAGTTCCTTGTGTCTTCTATAACTTGCTCTAATTGTTTCCTGGTGCTGGTAGCAAATGGAGAAAAGGCTGGCTGCAAAAGGGAGCAGAAAAAGAAGGTTCTGGATTTTCTTCAAACAAGATGATTAGCCTTTTAATATATGCAGTCTTTTGTCAGGAAAGATGATTTAGCAATCGGCAATTAACAAGACAGAAACTTTTGAGTCCATTTTTTCTAGCAGTAAAGACGACATTTAAGTATTAGGTAACTTTTTCTGAATCAAATTGTTTATGAACATATACTTCCAATATGGTAGAAGTTTATTCTTAGACTGATAACATCCCATCAATGACAGAGCTTTTAGAATTTAGTCTACACTTATTGAACATTAATGCACATAAAATATTTTTAAAGGAAAACGTCTTCAAACATATTCTATACCAAAGTTCAAAGATTTTGTATATGCACCTTTTCTGTTAACAGTTTCTCCATATGCTGATACACGTTTGTTTAGCGTTATCTTAATTACGTGCATATATTATATACAACACATTTGTTAATATTATAAAATTAAGATATGTTTGGCTAGTACAATTTCATTATCTTATTATCTATGACAAAGCATGCAGCTTTTGTGGGAAATGCTAAATTGAAGTATATACGTAGTTAAGTGGTAAGGCCCACAGTGCTCCTTAGCACGGCTACAGTCTTGTGGAGACTACTGTTGGGAATTTCTTTTTCTAGGACATAGAGTGCTACATAGTGGTTAGGTGGGGGCTGAAGTAACAAAAGCACAATCACTCAGAAAGCATTTTCAAACAACATATGCTCCCCTAGAAATTCTGCCGGGAATCCACATGGATCAGAATTGTGTCAACAACAATTGTAAGAGATCTGAAGTCCACTATCAGATGTTGATTTGTGGGCTAGGGACCTTTAGTGTGAACGTCAAGTATTTCGGAAAGTGAGGGTCATCGTAATGCTCTCGCCTTTCATTCCCCGAGGCTGCGCCACATCACTTCTGTAGTTAGCTGCAGGCTAAGAGGAAATAATGTTCTGGAGCAACAAACAACATGTATGACCAGAAGAGTTCATCCTGACATACCCTGATCTTCAGGCAATGGGAACATGCAGCCAGTGACTGAGAAATCAGCAAGGTGCACAGGTGACCTTGGCCTGTACTTACTGACTAGGAGTTCCAGGTGGAGACCGAGATGGAAGACTCTGTGTCTCTAACCTGTCATCAGATAATGAGTTTCTGCTCACTACTTCCCAATCCATTAATTTCCGTGCCAAGGGCTTACTTGGGGATCTGCAGAAACAATTTAAATAACATGTGAACAGTTTTACGTTTATACCCCAAACTATGAATCAAATCCTAGAATCTGTCTGAATAGATCATATTCTAGATGAGTCAACATAGTTTACTTCTAAGAAATCAATGCCTTCAGAGGCTAGTACCAAATAATTTCCTTAAAAAGTACATTTGCTTTGTATGAGGAATGACAGGCTGGAAGAGCAGGACAGAGAATAAGGGAGAGAGAGAGAGAGAAGAAACAAAGGAGAGAGCAAACAACAGGTGAGCAGCTTGTTATGACAGGTTTTCTCACATGTTGTTAATATCACAGATATTGCCTATTCCTGTTCTGAAGAATCTGGAACTCTAGCTTATCCTGGGACATATTAAACAATTCCCAGCATATTATCCACTGCATGTCTTTAAATCTAAACCCTGCTCCTCTGAGTCAACGTGGTCAGGGCACACAACCAAAATTAAGTATACTGCATTTTATTTATAAATTTTTTATCCATGGTAAGCCAGTGGATTTCCTTTTTTTTCCTTTCCTTAAACATCTGGAAGTTTATCTGTTTTATACTGTGATCGGAGTAGAGGGCTATGGTTTATTATCTATACGCTATCACCTATCATAGTGATCGATCAGTGGGCATTCTCTAAAACTGATGCAATTTTATCAGCTAAAAAAAAAGTCATTGACTCAGACTTTACTTTCCATAAGTGAATCCAAAGTAATTTCAAGCATGAACATTTCCCATTATCCTGAGCTCAAATTATAGAATTTTTTGATTTCTGCAAACTGCAGTGCAAACATTCATCTGTTGCAATAAAATGAATAATTAAGTATATTATCTCCTGCTTTGGATTTTTAAAACGCAGTAAAGATTTTTTAAAAGAAATCTTAACATTGACGGCTCTTCTGCGAATACAAATTCTTAAAGTTAACAACCTGCTCTCCCCTCACATTAGCAGACTGCTAAATATAAACCGTAAGCCACATCACGAACTGTCGCCAGGAGGTCAACTACTTTCATTTTCTAAGGAGGAAAAACTCATTTGAAGGAGGAAAAAATGCAACATACTCACCTAGTATAAAGCTTCAGAACACTAACACGGCTGGAAATGCTCTGCACTGAACACTAAACTTCAGGTATTTTACTGTATTAACAGTTTTAACCTCAGAGACCCACCCACTTAAGCTTGCTGTCTACGTTTCCTGTTGAACGTGGAAATTTCTGAGAAAAAAATGCCGCACTGCATTAGTGTGTTTGCAATGTGGTAAATTTATTTTCTGACCAGGGCACTTTGTTCTTCTGCTGTATGGGTACATTCTTTTGCTCTCTTCTTAGAGATTATCATATGACAATTTAATAATTGTTAAAACTACTCACAGTATTTTGGAAAACATGTATCAAGTTATCACAATAAGATTCTGATATATTATAAAATATCCCACAAAAGCTGAACCTCTCAGAGCTACAGGGATCATTAAAGCAGCCTAGTACTATTAAAACCTCATCCCAGCTCATGACTTACTACTTCAAGGAGGATTCACTACAATTCCAGTATAACAAAAGAAATAGAAGGTTTATTTGAGGCTTATCAGTGAATTACCGGTAATTCACTGAATGGATATTTTGGTTTATAAAAATTGCCTGTTAAACAATAGATTTCACATTTTAATAATGCATATACAAAAATGAAGAACTAAAATGCAGGTGTAACTAATTCTGAAAACGTCATCTGACATATAATATTAAAACAGTGACACTTAGAAAGGCAGTCATTTGCGTGTGGTATTGACCTGAATGTCCAAATTCATCTTTGCTTTGGTACTCAGAGTAGGACTTTATACTACAGTGGAATTAGTCATTAAACCACATATATTTTTATAAATATCAAGCAAGAAAAAAAGTTAAACTTATTATTAGGAAAATGATTTTTAAAAAGGTATAGTGCTATGGGGTAGTTACAACAGTAAGAATCAGGAACATCCTTATTTTTATTTTGACAAGTACTGAAATGGGTGTTGTACGTATAATACTAAGAACTAGAGCAAATATATTCTAAATTAAAACAACAAAGCCAACAGGAAGTCATTTTTGTCTCAAGAGCAATGGCAAGGAAACCCATCTGAAAGTAACATTTTATGTATATATCACCTGTGGACAGGTCTTTAGTCCCTGCTACAATTGGAAACAAGGGTATCTGAGACTGTAAAAGGAGGATTTAAATAACTTCAGTAGCTGTGCCAATGACGGCAGCCATCTCTGTGCTTTCTTTGTTCTCCCTTCAGAAACAACAAAGCCACTAACCTGGCACCAAGATTTCTATTTCATAGGGAAAGAGACACTCTTTCTCTCACAAATCTAAAAATGACACAATAAACCAATTTCAAATCTTTTTTGAACAAATGCAGAAATGAATTACATCATTCAAGTTCAAATCAACTTATCACAGCAAACTGCTATAGCCCTGACGAGCTGAATCCTTCCCACATCTAGGCATTTTCATTGACTGTTTTCCCGTGGGGTGGATTACTCACAGAAAAATCAGGGTCAGGGTAACCCCAAAATAAAGGAAATAGCGCAAGTGAATTTTATTATTCAAACACATGAAAACATGTTTGGATGATTTTTTTTCACACGTCTTTACTACAAGAGGCTCAGTGTATCATTTATAATGTGTCTCTATAAGCACTTCAGTACACAGTACTGGGACAGCCTCAGAGAGTCCTGGCAACAGCTCCCACTCCAGAGGCAGGTGAGGGGCAGGGTGAGGGGAGGGATCCAAGAGTTAAATCTGCAGGTGAGAGGGAAAGGGTTTAACAGTTTAAAGATGTATTGCCATTATAAATGACTACCGATTTTTCAACATAAAAACATCCACAACGTGTTAAGAGAGAAAAGCAACCAACAGAAAGTAAGATTTTTGAAATGAACATACTTATGAATATCTCTGTGAGTACATGCATAGGAAAAATCTTGCGTAATAAATAGCCAAAAATTGTAAATGGTTATTCTGAAGCGAAAATTGGTCTTTCTATTAGCTGGCAGTGTTGGAGTTGTAAGAAACACTAATGAACGACCACTTTTATCATTAGAAACACAACGAAGCAATTTCCACCTTGGAGGGAAAGCGAAAACACACACACACACAACTCCTGCTCCAAACACAATGAGCAGGAAGGTCTTCTGGACGCCGACTAAGAGCAAAATTAAACCAGGTAAAATCAAAAGCAAAGTTTTCTAACTCTCACCGTTATCTTTCCACACGCGGTTTCGTACGACTCATTTTGCGAATCTTCCTCCCCAGTAAACCTCAACTAACAGATTAATTAAAAAAAAACAATTTCTAAGTATCATCTGTTAAAACTCTTAGGCCTCCAATGGTACTAGATGCCAAGCACATGAACCTTAAGATTCAAGGACTTACCCTCTTTAAGTCATTTTCACTGAAGACAAACTGCTTCACGTGAAAGAATTCACCCTCTCTCCTTCCTTGCTAAAGGAGGCCGGGTGGTGCAGCGGTTAAGAGCTCGGCTGCTAACCGAAAGGTCGGCACTTTGAATCCACCAGCCGCTCCCTGGAAACCCTATGGGGCAGTTTTACTCTGTCCTCTAGGGTTGCTATGGGTCAGAATCGACTCGACGGCAACGGGTTTGGTTTGGTTTTTTTGAACCTGGCTAAAACAAAACCTGGTTTATTTGTTATTTCCCCCAGGAAATAACATCCATCCTGCTCTGCCCACATGGAGGCAATCCCTTCCTTCACCTGAATTAAATTAACATTTACTGAGGACCTATTATGTCCCACACTGGGGCTACGGCACTTAATGGAACAGACAAGGGTGCCGGCCCTCATAGAGCTGACATCTGAATGGGGGAGAGACGATAAACAGGATCATCTCTCACATCTCTGACCTAGGGAGGGAGTCAAGCCTTCACCTAGCTCATGCAGAACAGCAAAAACTACTCCGCAGAGGTCAAAGTCTGCGTTTAAGAACCTGGAATGTCTGACTTAGAATCCTGGCTGTACCCTTACTATCTGGATAATTTAAGGTATGTTACTCAAACTTGCTGTTCCTCAGTTTCCTCATTTGTGATGGAATTTACCTCATTGAGTTATAGGGATTATGAGTAAATATACAAAAATTGCCTGACACAGAATAAGTGCTAAATAAATGTAGCTATGACTAGATTGGAAACCCTGGTGGCGCAGTGGTTAAGAGCTTGACTGCTAACCAAAAGGTCAGCAGTTTGAATCCACCAGCCGCTCCTTGGAAACTCTATGGGGCAGGTCTACTCCGTCCTATAGGGTCACTATGAGTCGGAACTGACTTGACGGCAACGAGTTTATTATCAGATTAACTGGTAACAACCCCACATAATCCATTCTGCACACAGCAGCCAGAGTGGCCCTTTTCTTCTGTCTCCATAGTACTGTTATGAATATTTCGGACTTACACAAATGTGGAACAGTTTAATAAAACCCCCTGGACCCAGGACCCAGGTTCAACAATTATCATCATGGCCAATTTCCTTTCATCTCTGTCACTTACTCCATCTCTCTCACCCCTAATTATTTTGAAGTAAATCCCAGGAATCACAGCATATTTGTGAATACTTCAGTTTATCTCTAAAAAATAAGGACTCTAATTTTTATTTTTTAATGCAAGTCAGATTATATCCCTTTCTGCTCTCAGTCCCCCATTATAAATCTGTTCTTCCTCCTGTATTCCTTAAATGTCTTAGGTCACCTAAATTCGATTGTCTTTGCAGATACTCCTGTCTCTAACACACCTCTGTCCAACTGGTCATCAACTACCGCTGGTTGTACCTACAAAACGTTCTTCAAATTTGCCCCCTATTCTCCATACTGTCAGTCATTGTTTTAGTTCAGGCTGTTATTACTTTTCATTTGGATTACTGCTATAACCTTTTTCTTTGTTAATCCATTCTCTAACCTGCTCATTAATTGATTTCTAAACAATAAAACTGATCACATCATTTCACTTGTTAAAAGGAATCTGGCCATTTTAAGTTCTAAATAATAAAGATAACTAAATGAAAATCAAAGAAGAGCAGCTTAACTGTTTATGCAATGATACGATTTAAATAAATATGGAAATGGCTGAATATTACATAAGACAAGAGCTGTTACATTTCTCAAAAATATTTTTAAAAATAAATAAAAGGTATCCAGACTGGAAAAGAAGAAGTAAAATTATCTCTATTCATGGATGATATGATCCTAATTTAGAAATTCCCAAAAAGTCCATAAGAAAACATCTAGAGCTAATAGAGGACTTTAGCAAAGTTGCAGGGTACAAGGCCAACAAACAAAAATCAGCTGGGTTTCTATACACCAGCAATGAGAAATCTGAAAGGGAAATTAGGAAAACAATTCCATTTACAATAGCATCTAAGAGAATAAAATACCTAGGAATAAATCTAACCAGGGACACGAAGGACTTGGACGATGAAAACCATAAAATACTACTGAAAGAGATTAAAGAAGACTTAAATAAATGGAAAGATGTTCCACGTTCATGGATTGGAAGATTTAATACTGTTAAGATGCCAATACTACACAAAGCGATCTCTAGATTCAACGCGATCCCTATCAAAATTCCAACAGCCTTCTTTACAGAAATAGAAAAACCAATCCTCAGCTTCATATGGAATGGCAAGAGGCCTCGAACAGCTAAAGCAAGGTTGAAAGAGAAGAATAAAGTAAGAGGACTCCAATTTGATTATAAAACATACTATACAGCTACAGTAATCAAAACAGCCTAGTACTGATATAATAATAGACACTAGACAAATGGAATAGAATTGAGAGTCGAGAAATAAACCCCACACATCTATGGTCAACTGATTTTTGACAAGAGAGCTAAGACTATCTGACGGGGAAAGAGGAGTCTCTTCAATAAATGGTGCTGGGAAAACTGGATTTGCACATGCAGAAAAATGAAACAAAATCCATGCCTCACACCATACACAAAAACAAATTCACAGTGGATTAAGGATCTAAATGTGCAAACTAAAACCATAAAATTCTTAGAAGAAAAAGCAAGGGCAACGCTCAGGCCTGGGTTTTAACAGTGGATTGTTTAATATAATAACAAAAGCAAAAATAGCAAAAGACAAAATAAACAAATGGGACTTCATAAAAATTAAAAACCTTTGTTCATCGAAAGACTTTACCAAAAAAGTGAAAAGACAAGCTACTGACTGGGAGAATATCTTTGGAAACCATACGTCCAACAAGAATTTAATAACCAAAATATACGTAAAACTTCAACAGCTTAACAACAAAAAGACAACCCAATCATAAAATGGGCAAAGGACGTGATAGACATTTCACCAAAGAGGACATTCAAACGGCCACCAAACACATGAAAAGGTGCTCAGCATCGTTAGTCATCAGGGAGATGCAAATCAAAACCACAGTGAGATACCATTTCACTCCCACAAGGATGGCTAAGATTAAAGAAAACAAAAAACAAAAACCAAAAACCCAGAAAATAATAAATGCTGGCAAAGATGTGGGGAAATTGGAACCCTTACGCATTGCTGATGGGAATGCAAAACGACGCAGCTGTTGTGGAAAACAGTGTGGTGGTTTCTCGAAAAACTAAAAAAAGAACTACCATATGACCTAGCAAATCCACTCCTAGATATATAGCCAAAGACTTGAAAGTATAGACTCAGAGACTTGTACACCAATGGTCACTGCAGCACTATTCACAAAAGATGTAAACAACCTAAATGCCCAACAATGCCCATCAAGAGATGAATGGATAAACAAAATGTGGCACATACATACAGTCAGTGGGAGAAATGAAGTCTTGATACATGCTACAACATGGATGGAGCTAGAAGACATTATGCTGAGTGAAATAAGTCAATCACAAAAGGACAAATACTGTATGACTTCACTTATATAAAAAGACAAGAAAAGGCAAAAGTATAGACAACAAAGTTTATTAGCGGTTACTAGGGGCAGGAGGGAGGGGGGAAGAGGGGTTAACGGTGATGGAAATATCACATCGATTAAAGGTAGGGCTGCACAGCCAATTACTGTAATTGCTGTCAATAAATTGTACACCTGTAAAAAGCTGAATTGGCAAAACTGTATGATAGATATAACGACGACAAAAAAAGAGTTAACTGCAGAGGCTGCTTATGTACAACCAAAAACCTGACGGGATTTGGTTTCTTGGTTTGGAGGTTTAAGGTCATGGTTTCATGGAACATCCAGTTAATTAGCCTAATAACATACTAAGTGCTTCTGTTCTACCTCCTAGTTCAATGCATAGTGCCTGGGGTCTTAAAAGCTTGCAAGCGGCCATCCAAGGCACAATTGGTCTCTATTCACCTGGAGCAACAGAGGAAGAAGGAGAGTCAGGAATAGGAGGCGGAAATGGAATGTGTGGCTAATTGCCTCCAGGAGCAACTGCCTCCTTTGCCATGAGACCAGAAGAACTGGATGGTGCCCATCTACCATTACTGAACATTTTGATCAAACATTCTATAGAACAATCGTGATCAAAAGGGGGAAAAGGGGTGACAGAATGTCAGTTCTCAAGGACTCCTGATTTCTTGAGCCATGAAGGCTGGATGAATCCCTGAAACTACAGCTCTGAGATAATCTTGAAACCTTAAACCAAAAATATCCCCTGAAGTCTTCCTAAAACCAAACGATAGTTTAGCTTAACTAGTAAAGAATGTCTGCCTTGAGCATTATGCTCTTTTAAGATCTACGTTTTCGGGATCAAAGTGACAATAGCAACTTGAAAGTTCAGACAGAAACCTTAGATGGCAGTGAGTTGATGTTAACGGGGGAGGAACAACCCAGAAAAGGAGGGTGAGAATGGCTGCACAACTCAGAGAATGTAATTAATGTCACTAAACAGTACATGTAGAAACTGTTGAACTTGTGTATGTTTTGCTATATATATTCTCAATAATAAAATAAATGGAATTTTAAAATAAAATTAAAAAAAAAGTAGAAAAACTTTCCAACAAAATGTTGTCTTAATAAATATAATGCTTGATTCAGACTAGTCAGAGCTACAATAATTTGGCACATGGTTAATGCTCATTTTTTAAAAAATGAATGAATAAACTAGACAAACTAGTTTATTATTCCCTCAACGTAATTTATTATTTAATTAAAGAAAAGATCATGTGATAATTCTTTAATCATATTTGTGAAAAGAGTTTTTAATACTTTAAATCTTTCTTTTACAGAAATTCAGACACTAAAATAGAAGCGGCTTACCTTGCAAATACCCTGTCTTTATTTGCCTTTTCTTTGCCATACTGTACTGACTGGACTTCGGTTCTCCCACTGAAAGACACAAATACACACAACAATGAAGTCCTACAGAGAACCACAAGATACAAGGACAAGAGACAACGCTGGACAGAAACTTTGTACGAGATATTTCTAGCCAAGAAAACAAAGCAGAAGATAAGACTGGATTACTGTTCCAGTTGTACCTGAATGGATAAAGTTATAGTACTTCCATTGATGACAAAGTTGTGTTGCACTAACACTTCATATTCAGATACTTCTTTGAGAGTGAGTATAAGAGAGAGAATTTTCTACGAGACAAATCCCTTCCCTGCTATGTCCTGGAAACACACTCCCTCTGGTCTGAAATGGGGTCCCACAGCCCACCTCTTCTAAGCCCCGCCAACCCTGCTTCCACCCCACACCATAGGTCTGGGATTCAGCTGTTTCCCCTACTGCTTAACAGAGGGGTGGGAACATGGGGGATCTTGGAGGACTGCGCTCAGTTTGGCCGAGTTCTTCTTCCTCCTTGACTGCCAATGACCACAGACATGAAGGCTGGTTTCACCCTCGACCCCCTCCATGTCCACACACAGGCAACTGCAGATTTTTGTGTACAGGAAGGAACCGAAAACAGAAACATGGTTAGGGGTTGGGCACTAGATGGCTTGTCTGAAAGCTGGTTTGTCTAACAAGCACACTGTTTATGCAGAGGAACTGGTCTTCCTCTGTGGTAAACCAATGTGTTCAGACCAATTCTGACTATAAAAGGTTTGTTCCCAGAGGGTTTGTTACATGAAGCACAACATTATATAAGTATGAATGAATATAAATTTCTGGTATATCAAATACAGCCACAGACAAATGTAGATATCTAATACATATAAAGCAGCTAAATATAGGTTTCCAAAGGTTAGCAAGCAATTTTAAGCCCATCTTCCAGGGATAAATGTGAATTAAATGGCACGATTATAAGGTTTCAACAGAAGTTAGTACTGTTACCAAATTTTTGAGAAGTTGAAATTTCCTAAGAAATATATTTCCTCTAAGAAAGATAAACTATGCTCGTAATTATTGGGAACAAGGTAATGAGCTAAGGTTCACCACTGTTTTGTATTTCCACATTAGAACAATGATTTTAGTCCCACGGATATTCCGGAATAGAAATAAGGGTGTGTGTATGACGAGGCTCGTGAAGGAAGTAATAACCCTCTGATATCCACAGTTCCATCTCTCAGTCTAATTAATATTTCAACATTCTAAGTATGACAATAGTTCTAGTATTTGCAATCATTGCTTATCCTGAGGAAAAAAGTGTTTACTTAGTGCACGCCCGTTAGAGACAGTGCTGTGTTCAGCTAAATATTTGTCATGCTGCCATTCTTAACTCATTGACAAGACTATTCATCATTTTGATGATTAAAAACAAACAATAAATAACAAGAGATGTGACAATAAACATTACGTCCTTTGAAAAGTGGTCCATAGTAGGTTCACTAAATGTAAAACTTCCTATTTACACACTAAGTATTGACACTGAGGTTCCAGCCTAAACATAGGGACGAGCCTAGAATATTGTACGTAATCTTCGCTGGAAAGCGCAACATGCTGAGAAAACAAATAGCCAGGAAAGCGTATGAAAGAAAATACAATCAAGGGCTTTGAAGATATTTTTTAAAGTTCTTAAGGGCTACAAACATACACTTAACTTTTATAACAGTAAGGGTACATGGTTTACTTTATTGTGTATTCACTAATACACCAGTTTAATAATTATACTACAAACTGTCATAGGCCCCAATCATGTCCTTCTGTGTTCCGGTGCAAACTCCATTTTCCAGGTTACCGGCTGGCTGTCTGTTAGGTTCTGCTAATAGAAGGCACTTGTGGGAGAGGAGAAACTGGAAAAAGCCAAAGGCTGGAAAGGAGCAGATGCTGACAGTTGTCGCAGGAGTTGGGGTACGGCTACCAGGAAGAAACAGAACGTTGTAGCGGGTTTGAGCCCCGGTCAAGGCAGCACCTCTCTGGCAGACGTAGAGGGTTTGAGCCCCGGTCAAGGCAGCACCTCTCTGGCAGACGCTG